GCCATACAATTCGCTTCTAAATAAAGAGTAACTAAATTAAATATTTTGATATTTTCCTATGTTTTTCATACTTTCATAGTTAGAATTTTTGTGTATTAGCAGTTGGTATAAACTTTCTGAATAAACATGACAGATAAGCAAAAAAATTAACCAAAATGGTTTAATCTTTTCTACAATTCTAAGCAATAATAGTTTTACAGGAGACGATATCGGATATAAATCCAGATATTTTAATCAATTTGCATCCCAGATATTAATAAAAACATAAAAGAAGTATGGCAACACTTAACCTTCTGTTAAAGTAAGCATTGATCAGTTGAGCGCGTCGATCACGTACAGATCTTTTTGTCTTCCCTTCTTCTATTACAAGATGCTCGTGTTTGCTACTAAACAGTGTTTTGAATACGTCTGGTTCTACGGCCTAACATTCATGTTATGAAAAGCATTAAGATATGTTACGGACTACTGATGTATACAAAAGTATCAACAAGAAATTTTATGACCGGATTTTGGCTTAAACCACGCTAAAACTCAATAAATAAATAAACGATAACGATAAAAAATTAACTAACCAAATTTAAATAAGTGAATAAACTTACATCAGTAATTAAAAAGTGACGGTTACCTATTGAATAATCGTTTGTTCTAAAAATAATTTATTTTTCGTCCAAATTAGTCAAAATTTTAGATAGCATTCCTCCTACATCTTAGATGACTCACGGAAAAGACCGACTTTGTTCGGTGCTGTTACCAGGATTAGCTCATTCACGTAACAGCAAACCGTTTAAAAGCAAAAGGCCAGAAAACTTTAAGCAATGTAGCGTAAAAGTATTCGTAAGGAAATAGGAAAATTCCTGGCATTCCGGAGCCGAAATAATAATCCTCGGCAAAATGCGGACTAGGCAAGAAGATTTTCCTGTTTACAGATAATACGGCGAAAATTTTTGTCCGCGGACATTTTGTGGGATTATTTGAGGAAAGGTATTTTAATCAGTAAACTTGCAGACGGTATCTTAATGGCTTTGTATGTTAAGGGGCATTAGCTTTATTTAGGGATTAAATGGGAAGAACGGAAGGCTAGAAAGATTCGCTTTGTCGCTTTTCCTCGCTTTTCAGGAATTTTTAGTCGAGAAAACATTACTAGCGCATTTCATGGAGTCATTCAACTGTCCACTAAATTTAACATTACGATTTCAACGCAGCGGACCACTAATTATGCTTCTGATGTGTAACTCCAGGTTAAACGGATATTTAATTTAGCAGTCTAATGTAATGGAAAGATGCCTATTGGCATATGGAAGCAGTTTCTTGATTTTCTAATAATCAATGTGACTCTTAAATAGGTTTCAAAGTAAAGATATGTAATTTTATGTCACATTTGCAACATTAAATTTCAAAATTAGGTAAACATATTTTTTCTGTTAATAACTATTAAAATCATTTAACACTTTTAGCAGTGTTACGTTGACATATTGCAAGTATTTTAAAAATAAAGTTTCTCCTGACTAAAAATAGCTTTCCGATAAATCGTAAAACAATTAAAATGTTGATGTTGTTAATAATTCGCATTAATGTTTCTCAATATTTTACCGATTTCTTTGATTTTTGAATCAAATTCTTAATTTTAATCGCTGATTTCATTAAACAGAAAAATGGGTATGTTACTGTGTTAGGTTATTATTATTAACGCACCTAAATATAATCTACACTCTTGTGAGGGCAGATAATATTTTGACATGATAATAATATCTAGGAATCCTTAATATACTTAGGCATAAGTTAATACTATTTAGACATTCCTCACACGAGGGCAGATGAGGAGGACTTTCTAAAGGAAACTGAGCCGAATTTACCCTACCAATTTGGAAAAAAAAAAAAAAAAAAAAAAAAAAAAAAAAAAAAACATGAAAACAACCATGTAGCACATTCGCCTGTAAACAAACCGAGACAGAACTACCAGTATTCAGCAATTGTAATCACATGCTCACGAACTTTACCGTCGACCATTCTTGAAAAAAAAAAAAAAAAAAAAAAAAAGAAAGAAGGGAAAGAAAATTGTTGCAAAACAGTGCGATTTAAAGTCAATAATGGATAAGCGAGACATTCCTGCATATTCTTAAGATTTTCGCTTTAATGTAACCGCGATCCTTAGCAAGCTAGTTATATTTTCATGAAGAAGGATAGGTACAACTCTGATATACATCCTAATTTCACCAAATGCGGCGATATGTGTTCTGCGCTGGTTTTCGGCGTGATTGCGTGTTCTATGGCAACCCTGTTGACGTTGAAAAATCTTTCGCTGGTTCGAGTCATGCTTTGTGTCTGAGAAGCTAGGGGGGGAAAGATAAAATGGTGGAAGTTGTTGAATTGAAGTTCGGCAAAAGAAATATTGTCGTGGCCATCCTGTTGAGGGGCAGTGGGTATTTGGAGGTGTGGAAAGAAGGTCTGGGAGATTATTTTTAGTGGCTGTGCATGATAGAAGCAGGGATTTGTGATTATTTGTTATTTTATTTATTTGTGAACCATAGTATGAATTTTCTGGATAGTGTGTCTGGCTGCCATATAAATATGATAGTGATTACGTGGCGGCATGTTAAAGGCAGTATGAAATTGGTATTTCTGCTGTTCGAAAAAGCATTTCATGGTAAGTGCATTTTATTTTATTCTTGTTCTTATTTTGTAGAATGTTATGTTCATTGTTTTTTTAGTATGAATTTCTGTCGTTATTGTTCTTTTTTTTTGAATTGTTTGAAATTTTAGTTATTTTGTTGATTAGTGCGTACGTCTAAATTGTGATATTCGTAGATCTTTTTTAAAGTTGAAACAGAGCGCTGTATACGTGGTATTCTTTGAAATTTATTGTTATGTTAATTTATTAGAGTGAGGTGTGCATAGCTCGTAGATGCGTTTGTTGCCTAAATTGTGCAATTCGTAGATGTTTTTTTAAGTTTAAACAGGATGCTGTGTACATGGTATTCTTTGAAATTTATTGTTATGTTAATTTATTAAAGCGATGTGTGTGTAGTTCGTAGACTTGATTGTGCCATTCGTAGATGTTTTTTTAAGTTAAAACATATCGCTATGTACATGGACTCTTGTCAAATAATTTTGGTTAGAAACTTTACGGTTTTGCTATCTAAATTTTTTGTTTTTGTTTCGGATTTTTAGTTTAAATTGTGTGTTCAAAACGTGGTTTTTGCATTCGCGAAAACCGTGTTTTTGGAGACATTTTAGGCTTAAAGTTCAAACTGTAGACAAAAAATTTAGATAGCAAAATGGCAGCGTGAAGTTTCTCGCCAAAAATGTTTGGCGAGAAATTTGGCGACTTAGGGCGCATATCAGAGTAGTTCCGGACGCCAATTTGTTTTCACGAAGTAAAGGCATTTTTTTTTTTTTTTTTTTTTTTTTTTTTTTTTTTGAAAATTTTTTCCAACAATCTGCTAGCCGAATTACGCTTATGCTAGAACTTTTATGGAACAAAAGTGCTTAATCATGACGAAGATTAGGTGCGAAATTGGAATAAAGTGCAGAATCGCAAACTGCTTGCTACGTTTTTAAGAATTGCCCATACACGGTATCCATGTACACGTAAAAAAAAATCCCAGAATTGCACAAAAATGGCATTGCTCACACTCTTGACTTGATCCATGTACAGTGCTAAAGTCCTAGCTAGTAACCTTTATCGCCTTACCACAATGTCGCCAAACTACCTGTTACCATATTCCAAAGATTAGACCATTGGTTTTCTCCTGCATTTTTGGAAAGAAAAAAAAAAAAAAAAAATGATTGAAATTTTATGCATACTTTCTTACAGCAAACAGTAATTTATATTCAGAATTACGCTATAGTGCTTGGTTATGCTAGTGTATATACTCAGAACATTGAAATGTTCTAGGGTTCAGCGAAATTGCTAATAAAATACATCGCGCAACCGCCTGACTTCATCTAGATTTGTATATAAGGAAATTAATTCTGCGATTTTCACAAAGTTCATAGATCTCTAGTTCATAAAGAAGATTAATATTTTAATCTTTATGAACTAGAGATATGTTATAGATAGTTCTTTATGATATAGAGATGTTCTTTATGAACTAGAGATATGTTAACGTATGTTAAATGCCATTCAGGAATTTTAGAGCTGAACTGATTTTTCTTAACTTTGAGTAATTTTTTTTTGGTACATAATCTAATAAGTTTCGCCACCTCTTCATTGAAGTTTCTTATACACTACATATGTAATTTGTATTTGCTGATTGTCGAATTAAATAAACAACGGTCTCCGGTTACCTTTCTATATGAAGAGCTATGTGTCCTTTGGAATCCACAAGAATGCTTGGTGGAATCTCCGCCAACTATCAGGGTGAAGGGGGAAATGAGTAAGTACCATGGAAAAATAACTTACACAGAACTTAAATAACGAGATAAAATTAGAAAACTTTCAAAACATATTAAACAGTTTTGTGTTTTTATTTCATAATTTTAAGAATTTCAAAATGTCTTCTATGTTTACGCAAAAAATATAGAAGTTATGGAAGTAAAATTCCCGTAATTATAATAAATTAAAAATTCTGACAAACTTTAACGAAAAACATTGGGAATTACATTTATAACTTTCCCTCAAAATGTTAAAAGCGTATTCTTAAATTAATAAGAGTAATCTGAACAAAATCGATAAAGAAAATTGGTACTTACGTGTTATCCTGTCCACTATTGGGGAAAATGTCAGCAACAATCGCCACTCGCTAATTGTTACTGCAGAATTCTAAAGGAACTGTCCATCTATAATAGGCGCTAAATCGCTCTGCTTGGCGAGTCGGCGGGATAATACGTAAGTACCAGAAAATTAAATTGCTTTAAAAATGATGTTCTTGTGTTAAATATGTAATTCACACTCCGTGCTTTAGTAGGTTTAATCATCAGTTCATTCATGTTGAACTTGTTTATCTCTTTGAAACTTTAATATTTTTTCTTTATTAGTAGATTGAATAATTTCAGTTCTGCTACTTATGTATTATCGCAACAACCTTAGTAGAAATCACCAAAGTTACAGAATGGGCTAAACTCTGGCAAGCACGAGCATAGCAGTTATTCAGGTAACGTTATATTTAGTTTTAACATCTAACACCACTATTTTCATACATGTTCTTTTTGTTTTATTTCGAATTTCAACAGTTTCATAAGTGAACTAAGATGTTTTTGCTTTTAAACTGAATTTTAAAACATGTGCTTATGGGATTTGCATGAGCTAGAAGAAACTGGTGTGAAATATCTGTCGGAACACCGTATGTTGCCTCAAAATCCTTAAAGGGAAAAAATAATTCTGCTGCCCAGATGGGAAAATGCTTAGTGACATGGATTGCTGTACCAAAAGGCGAGAGTTCAAATCCGGAAGGCATGGATGTTATGTGTCCTTCCTTTCGTAGGAGGCAATGGTGGTCCACCTTTTGGGTGCCTCCAGAATAAAGAGACCATCGCTTCCGTCCTTAGTAGCGGCCAATGTTTATAAACGGCTATAGTTTTCCTTTGGAACAAAAAAAAAAAAAAAAAAAAAAGTATATTTTAAATCTTGTGTTAAAACAATAATCATGAAATTTCCACTTGAACATAGAAACACAAGCTCGTTAGTAAGTAGGTTTATTGATTGTTATTTTGGAATAAATATTAACCAAAATGTAAAATATATCATTAATAATATATTCGGGCGTGATAGATTGTGATTTGCCATTTTAAGTCATCATTCTTTTTCTTCTATAAAATTTGCCAAATTGCGCTAAAGGGATTGCGCTTATATGCTCCTATGAAAGGGTACTAACTACCCCAGCGCCTTCTATAATATGCCTGAATCTAAGTTTTTCCCTCATTACAGATCAAAACAGTAAATAAATAAAAAAAGTAGTCTGAAAATTTAAAGTCTAGCATCTCTTAGAGTTTAATATTAAAATTTCAAAATCGTTTTAAAAGTTCTTCAAATGTAAAATCTTTAAAAACCACAAGATTAAAAAGAATTTAGTCTAATTTTGAATGCGGACTTCAGTTTAATATTTGAAATATTTTTAGTTAGGAAATAATGAACCTATTATTGTCATAATTAATTTATGACAAATACGTTTCTTGCAAAAGTTTCTCACAAGACATAGAGCATTAAATCTTATATTTAAGATTCGCCGCACAGAAACTCACGCAGATAGCGGCACAGAAAGGCAAAGCCAGCTGGTAGAAAAATGCTTATATTAGTTCATAATAAAAGAAGGCAGCACGAAGACTTGTGCACCTTTATTTTAAGTACTGAAGATGTGCATTTATTCCAGTGGATTCCTCGTGTATATGTCTTGCAAGAAATACTTCAAGTAGTAGTATTTCCTTTTTTTCCAAAACAAAAAAATCCATGAACAGAAATAATAAACACTTCGAAGAGATTTTCCTTCGAAATCTTGAAAAAAACTTACACAAAAGTGCTAATTAAAAAAACTGAATATATAATTATAGTTAGGGCTGATAATATAAACAAATGATGAATATTATAACGTTATTGTGATCAAGTAACAAAGAGTATGTGTGATTAAGGGAAAGCCTCGAGGGCTATCTGCCTAAGAGGAGGGATGCCTTCGTAGAGGACTTTCTAAGGGAAACTGGCTCGCATACACGTTACACATGGGTCAATTCACGAAAACGCCCATGCAGCCAGCCCGTTCGCGGGATTCGAACCTCGGACCGAGCTACCAGTGTTCAGCGACTCTATCGTTCGGCTGCTGCAGGGCCAAGTAACAAAGAAAAAAAGTTCATAATTAGTTTCCTGTATTTTAGTCAAGTATTAAAAGGTAATAAAAATTTTAATTTGCGGTACTTACTTACTATCGCAACCACCTTTGTAGAAATAGCCAAATTTTCAGAAAGTGCCAAACTCTTGTAACAATGCACATAACAATCGTTTTAGTCAAGCAACGTGGCCATTATCGTATGAGTTCTATTTTGTTGTCTTCCGAGTTCCAACGGTGTTTATACACAAATCGTGATATTTTTTGCTTTAAAGTATTTTTGCCTTGTTTTAAAGTATAAGCTTCTGGAATTTGAAAGAAACAGAAGAAACTACGGTAAAATTTTGGCAGTAACGAGATTTTCTGAAACATTTCTACAGGGAACAGCGACGAAATGTGTTTTCTAGACAGACTCTGTTGCCGAAAATTGCACGAAGCCAAGTCTCCACGATTATTGCTGTGTACTTCCGGAGAAGAAACGAAAAAAAATAATTATAGAAAGCTTCGAAGAAAAATGTAAGTATTTTATTTTTTTAATGTATGCCATAATCCTCATTTAATAACTCAAATTTGTGTTTTAAATTGCTAAACTTACTTTTAATTGCTGATGTTATTTTAAACTGCTTTTGTTAAAGCATATTTTTCCCATATTGATACTGTTTACCAAACTTACTATAAATATCGAAACGGTTTCTTTTCTAAAAAAGGAAGGCTCGAAAACCACCAACTTGCACATGCTTAAGTAACTTTTACATTTTCATCCGTAAAAAAATGCCAACTTGCGCCAAGATGGTTGCGATAGTAGTTAAGTACTAAATGTTCACTTGATGGATTAGAAATAATTGATACCACAAAGTAAAAGTTTAAAATTAAATTTTGTACAAAAATATGACTTGACAAAATTTTGATAAGAAAATTTAAATCGTACACTAATTTTGTGTTTATTATCAGTTGATTTCAAAGTATGTCTGCCTGAGAAAATGAGCTGCCGAGGTCAGGTATGTATATTTTATTGCATAATATCTTCCTAATTATTAATCCATAATTCTAAATATTTCAGGATGATATTTATAATATTCTTCATAAGTTAAAATTATGTGATGCCATATTTAAACAGAAAATTTTCAACCTTGATTTACCTTGCCAGATGAGAGTTTTGTCATGTTGGTAAATATTTCTACTCAAAACAAGCTAAATTTGGTTTATATTTATTAGCAGAGTTTGAAGCTAAACAATGCAAACATACGGATTAGACTTTCAAACTTTTTATCTTTGACACAAGCTTAATGACGAAAATCCCATTAATATCGCTTATATTTTACCGGGTAAAAACCAATTCATTTCCTTTTCTCATCTGTATAATTAATAATCTGATGTCTATCTTCCTTTCTGTTGTCGATATAAAAGTATAATATCGGGTTTGCAAGCGTCTCTATTACTTCTGAAGAAAACATTATTGAGGTAGAGAAATTAACAATCGGTAACGGCTCCTAGAAATATAGCACAGAGGAGAAGATTCAATGCTCTAATGAATTTTTGCCTATCAAAAGGTTCAGGAATTATTACAGGTACATCACTCATTTTGGTATCTAAAGTATGTTTCCATACATATGCATAGTGCTACCTTACATATTCTGTCATGTATAATATGTATGCATATTGCATGTAAAGTTTGTGTGATATAATTATATTTACACCAAAAAAAAAATCCTGTCTGTTTTATAATGTATGCAATATGCATACATCACTAAATTAAGTAAAAAATAAATTCAAATTTCTAGAATAAGAATGAGCTGAAAAATACTTATTATAATGTCACTGCGTGGTGAGATGCTTGTTTACGAACTAAATAAAATTAAAATTTGTATTGCTTTAAAAAATCCTATTAAACGTTATAAGTAATCTTTAACATAATGAAAATAATAATTAAGAGGTCTTTAGCACAATTAAGCATAATATGCTGCCTTTAGCGTAATTGCCCTAATAGGGACGTTATTAAGCGATCCCGTTTGAATACAGAAAGATTACAAAGAGGTATATGAAATAAAACGTGTCGATTAAGAAACGCCCAGAGCACCTACTAAATAAACGTCTCACAAATAAAGAAAATGAAAAAAAAATTTGGAAAAAAAGGAAATACAGTCTCCAGGAAAACAGTTGAGAGTTGTTACACAACCCCTTACAAATGTGAGATTTGATACTGATGTGGCATTTATTTAAATATCTTGGCGATAAATTTGCACCATCACTGATATAAGCGACGCAAATCTGGATACAGAATCCTTAACTTAAATGCTATGCATACATCTTATAATTTAAAATTTCAATGTTTGTTAGAAAAAACTGCTTTGAAAAGTTTCATCAAACCCAACTGTTAAAAATGGAATTTGCCGGGAGAAAATAAAAAAAAAAAAAAATAAAAAAAAAAAAAGTGTTCTAGTCAGAGTTTCAGACCGGAAGGCAACAACATTAATGCATGAAATTCAAAATAATATTACTGAAAGCTCAACAATAATGTCAGATTCGTGGCCTGGATATCAAACAGAGGAGCTCATTGCTGCCGGTTTTGAACATTTTAAGGTGAATCATCGATACAATTTTGTTGACCTATCTACGCAGACTCATACTCAGCACGTTGAAAGGATGTGGGAAGCAAAATGGACGAACAAGCGACAACGTGGGACAAGCCGTCACCATTTGGATACCTATTTAGCTGAATGCATTTTGCGGAAAAAACAGGAAACGCCTTTCGATTCTATTTTGAAAGCTATTTCCCGCCACTTTCCTCACCATTAACTTCAACGTTTTCTTTTAACCAGTTTTAAGTAAGTTAATTTTAATTTTTGAATTCCGTATTTAGTATATAGTTTACATATATACACGTTTATTTACAATATGTATATATATATATATATATATATATATATATATAGATATATGTTTATTTAGAATATGTATACATATATATATATATATTGGATTTTTGGTTCTTTATTATTAGGGATTTTATGTTTAAAATAATTTATAAACATAAAACAAAAAACGCCAATGAAGATTTTTATCGGCAAATGCTGCCAAGGCAGTCGTCATAGTACGTAAGTACCTGCATGCCTTCTCTGGGATTCGAAGCCGCGACTTTTGGTATCGGAGTAGGCTTCCCTAACTACTATACCGTCTGGGAGGCAAACTAAAGTATATATATACATGTGCCAGTAGAGTATTAATGCAAGTTAATTATTAAAAGCTATCAGTAAAACTGTTTCTATGCATAAATAAAGAGAAAAAATATTAATATTTTGCTTAGGTCTAAAGAGGCTACACACTTTAAAAGGGTTGTTTTCAAAGTTCGAAATTTGATGCTATATTCTAAGTTTTCATGTCCGTTTTTTTAACGAAACAAAATTTAAAGAAAATGAATAAATTACTAAATATGAAATTTTGCACAAACTAATAAGTACCGAAATTTAATGCGCATTAAACAAAGAATAAACTGTATTGTCGAAACTATTTCATCAAGTGATACAGATAAAGACATGCATTTCAAACCTCGGCTAGCTAAACCGCTTCAGGAAGCCTTCCAAATGTTGAAAATCTTTGCACTTGTGCCACAATCCCTTTCGGAGGGCGTCGGAAAAAGAAAGGTTTCAGCGGATTATAGCTATTGTCAGGCTTCTGGAAAGGTATTGATCAGAGGACATAGCATGCTGAAGCCGACGATTAAACCCTGCCATTAAGACTAGTAACTTGCTCTTAGAGAAAGCGAAAGTGGTGTCTCTTTAATGTGAAGTAAGGGGAAGAAATTGTAGGGAAACGGATTGGGTTTTAGTGCGGTCATCCAATATCGGGTCTCTAAGAGCGTCCATTTCTATCGACCTCCAAGTAAATGTAACCCCTTTCAACTTCCTACTTTTTCTTCACACATAGTGTTAGCTCCTACCAGCCTATCATGAGTACTCATTATATTAGAAGAAATGGTAATGAGACTCTACATTGGAGCTCTCCAGTAATACAATCAGTGTCAGTACCTACTTCTGCCCATTGCATCAGTTTTACGACCATGATATTTCTTTTCAGCCTTATAATAAGTTGGATAGAGACTTTTCTGAAATTTCAGAAGATTTATTAATATAGTAATATTATTAATATGATCAAGCCAAATTTAGAATAGTTAAAACATATGTTAAGATATTCGACTTATAAAGTACTGAATAATTAGAAAAGAATTAGTGTATCAATTTTAGAAGCCAAACAAGTACTTGTAAGCAGAAGTATTTATTCGACGTGTTATTTTATCTTAAGAATTAATGTAATGTGTTATCAAGGAATGTCTTCAAATAGTTTTGTTAAATGGAGATTAAAAACAGTCATGCGGTTTATCATAAATTAAATGTGAATTCGCTGTTCATGTATCATTATGACAAACGGATGTAGTTTTAAACAGTCGTAAACTGAATTTTATTATTTTGTATTCATAATTTTAATTTTTATTGAATTAGAAGTGTAAACGGTTTCGGATACTTATATTTCTTCGAACCACATTTCGTGCGCTTATTAATTAGCAACGTTTCATTCCTCAAGTATACGTACGCATAATTTTGACGTTAAAAACTTTGCATTCTGTAAGGTACGGGATTTCAATTTTACTTTTCTATTTATAATTATGGATTTCGCCTCTGTGTATAATCTAATCAAGTCATTACATGTACTTCTCAATAGTTACATCTATTTTTAGTACTGCATACATACAGCCGATATAATTTACAGCATAGTTAAACAAAAGTTTTTATAATCATTTGCAGCATTAAAGCAATTAATAAAAGTCGCGTAACGTCATATCGTTCATTGGCTGCAAAACCGGTACAATTAGAAAAGTGTGAAATTTGAGATATGACCATTTTCAACTCTGCAAAATCATCTCCTATGAATCAGCAGCTCTGGAACATATTTTAGTTCGGTACCGCACTAACAGAAGAAAGTATTGTCTCCCTTGCATTCTTTGGTTTCTCGCGTGCATTGACTGCAATACTGGCACTTTTTAATTTATGCCAGGTGCTCGGAGGGAGCATTGTGTTGTCGTTTCATTAATATGACACTTCATTGAGTTGTGCCGATGTTGCTAAGTCACTAGATCATTTCTGTTATCCTGAGAGACTGAATGAAACAATTATTCGATTACTTCTTCCGCAACACTTCTTTTTAAGCATATTTAAAACTGCCCATATGAAAGCTCATAGACGAAGAAAGATTTGCAGTCCTTCTAGGAATCAACATTTGAAAAGGCTTTTAAAACCATCTAGCAAAATTATTAAATAATGCTACTATAAAATGATGTTAATTTTATAGCATTTTATAACTATTATTAATAACAGAACCTCTATGAGGCCTGTTAGTAAATTTTACGCCTTAATCCATTAATTAAGAGTGCATTTCCTGAATTTCGAAACCAAAGATAACTTCAAGCACATTTTTCGAGTTGCATGCATATGCACAAAACACATATTATATGGATATATATGACGTTGTAATATCTTGAAAATTCCGTTATGGCGTATATTAACGAATGGTACCTGAAGACAGACGTGGCTTTTCAAAACATATTATTCCTTGAAAACTAAGCCTTAGAACACAGCTTCTTTCCAGTACATATCATCATTATGGGTGCGCTAGTCAGCCCCCAATTTTATACTACTTCCATTTTAAGAACAGTGGACAACAACTAACAGAGGCTAAGCGACATGTTATAAGCAGCAAGAAACCGAAGCAGATAAAAGCGGCTGCGCAATTAATAACAATGGTATTTATAGTATAATATTTCCTAATCTGACTGGTTGAGTGCCATTTGCATTATAAGAAGATGTACATAAAACATAAAACGAATTACTTTAGAAAGTCGCAGTTCAGGAAAATAAATACAAATGGTTTAGCAGAGAAAAGGAAATATAGATTACAATGGGAGAACAAAAAGAACTATTGCCAAATTAAAATTAATAATTTTATTT